TCTCTCTCTCTCTCTCTCTCTCTCTCTCTTTCTTTCTTTCTTTCTCACCCTGTTTTTCTCTTTCTCTCTCTCCTCTGAGCGCATACACTTTTCATACACAAGCACCTTGTTTTTGTTTTATCCCATTTGGGTAATGTCACGAATTATATCCCCCTGAGAACAACCTACTTCCTGTCCCTCTGTTATTCCCACATACTACACACTCTCATTATAATGCATTGTGCATGTTACTCCCAAATCGCTGTTGCAATAGTTGCGTAAAACAAAACACGTAAACAAAACAAAATAGAACAAAACTAAAGCCTGTGAAATTGAATATACAGGCTATGTTTTTTCTTTAACAATTAGTCAAGCATAATGCATTTAGTTAAAGAGAAACGTAGAGGAGAACATAAAATTAATGAAATTTGCTGACTTATAAGAAATCTTTGACCTACGCATTATGTTGGCGGTCTGCAGATGCTGACCAGAGTTGGAAGAACTGTTCATTTTGTGCCCAAGCAAGAAACGGGAGGCTTTGAGCTCAAGTGATTTCTGGAGTAGATATGTGAAGTACATCATAGTCGATGGGTCTCTTTTGGGTACATTTTTGAGAAAAGTCAGTAGATCAATTTTCTTGATCTACAAGGTTATCAGCTTTATCATTCCGATATGCTAGTTAAAGAAAATGAGAGTCTTTTCCCTAGCCCTTTAATAAATTGAGTATTCGGATCTCAGGAAAAAAGGATATTTGACATTTGGTTAAACAATATATTAAATGAACAAAGCTGAAGATACCTTAACATGAACAGGGATTTCTATTTTATTGACTGTAGCTTGTGGTAATGTTTACCGTTAGGATTAATACAGCTTATCTTATTTATATGTCTATTAATATTCAGAACAATGTCCTTCAAAATGTCACTCTGCTCATGCCGTGAGTGAAACAAAAGGGCAAACCAAGTTTGTATCTATTTTTTAACAGCTTGATTCTATACCTGCCTGTTTCAGGGTAAAGAGAACGGTTGTAATTGGTGTCCACTACAGGCGACGCGCAACTAAAAAGAATATATTATGCGTCAAAATCAATTCATACTTTGACAAATTTGAGGAATATAAATTCATAAAGAAGTAAATTTCAACTTTGCTGAAGGGCCACATTTTTGGGAACATTTTTGTTTATGTCATGGGGCACTCCAAATCACTTGGACTTGATAGTCTCCCTTAAATTGACTGTTTCTTAAGCAAAGTCTTGCTATAACATTTAGTGAAAAAAATGACCTCTTTCTAAGTACTGGTACTCTAACTGCTGGAGGTCATGCCGTACTAAAATAAAAGCTTAATAGCTGCATGGGTGTGGGCCTTGGTTTACGCGTTTCCACCAGCCATGCAAACCATGAATGAGCAACCAACAGTAACAAGGTGAATTAAAAGTTATGCTAAAGAAATAGTTGTGTGAAACATGCTGACGCCCACTCTAATTATTCACCGCTTGTAATGAACCGATGGATGCACATCATTTATCGTTATGGAGACAGACTGCGCTCGTGAACAAGTGTGTAATCCCGGATAATCATTCACTATGTTCAGATAAGGTCTTTTTTTCTCCTCCATTGATAATGTGTGTGCTGTTTATTAATCTGCGAATGCGGGTGAGACATTTTTTGCCAGAGATTCAATGTCGACCAAAATAGCAGTCTTTAAATAGCAAGGTGGGAGAAAAAGTTGTTTTTGACATGCAAAATAGTACTGCACGCAATATCGACCGCAGTTACATAAATTACGTAAACTCGTTCACGCGTGCGGGCACACACATACACACGCTCGCACACTTGAACACACAAACACATACACCAACCCACCCTCCC